GTAGTCAAGATGGTATGCAAACAATGAAATCTTAGGCCAAGACTAAAACAAATAGCTATATGCCTTTGCCAAATTATCAGGACTAACATACCAGATTACGGTAAACAAAGTTTAACCCTTACAATACATAATCTTAGTAGTTGGACTGGTTTTCCACAAATTAGCATAGAATCGAAATGGAATGGGAAATGGGAAATATTTTTGGGATGTAAACGAATCAATCTCGTTTTTGTTTTTAGTACCTGTTATGCGCTGGAGCCAAAAATTAGACCTCTTTCGGCAAATCTATTTCGATCCTTCTTTCTTGTTCTCTTTCCTAATTTTGTTGCCCACTTTATCGTCATTCTTTCCAACGGAATATCGGCTGGCTAACTTCCCAGGAGGAGGAAAGTTCTATCTAGGAAGAGTAATAGGTGAATACTGAAATTGGCAGTGGATTTTCAGTTCCCCAAATTGTTAGTCTGCCGGTATTGGTGAGAATCTGTCGTTCCTTAACCCGTAATTTGCCAACTTGATCACATAAATTAAATTGAAAAACAAACTCGGATCAATTCTGTGAAATATTGTTTGCCGAAGCCAAGAAAGTGTACTTAGGATTATTTCAGTAAACAAAAGGAAAAAGAACTAATTTGTTTCCACTTTCAACACACTATTAAATTGATATAGCGATTCACAAACTAGTTTCGTCAAACGACCTCTTCAGTTGATCGCCACAGTATTCAAAATAACAGACACTCTACGTAGCAATGCATAAATAATGACCCCTAGTAGTGATGAGGCTATTGGGTTAAAACAGCCTTTGGGATGCTAACGTAGTTCGATTGACTTTTTTTTTCACGCGAAATGGAACCGATCCTTTGCCAAGGGATTAGTAATACCACGGCTTTCTCTATCGGGAGAAATATCTTTTACAAAAGTGTGTGTAACTGCACCTTATGAGCTGATATTGTTTATTGTTTATTATCATTTTGCCATACAAACAAACATATACGTATAAAGTTGAAAAGAAGATGAGATAAATAAAATACTGTAGGGACCAAGAAAGCGGCGTTTTCACCGTTCCACTGTAAAACCGTTTCGCGCATTATTGTTTCTTTTCTAATTAAGTTCGACGCTCAAGTCAGTTCGACGTTTGACTCGGCAGTCGAACTTAAGGTCCACCCAAATCGTAATTTAGTTCGTTTCATGATAAGTTCAACGTCTTGTCCCCCCCTTAAGTGAACGATTATACTACCTAATCGGTACTTAATTTCGCGTTTTTCGCGATTGTAAATAAATCGCGAAATTAAAGACCTGCCAATTTTCAAACCCATGTAGAAAATCCAAAACACACAAAAAATTTTAACAATTTAGCAACAACATATATATGCATTATGTTCAACAAATACACAAATTGTTGATTGGTTTTACTGATAAGTTCCATTTTGTATCTTCAGTTGTGAAATAACGTTAATTGCAAAGATTTCACCCATTGCTTGTTCCAGTTTATCTAGAAATTTTCAAAAGTTCAGACTTTTTGAAAAATAAAATCAATTTGAGAATGCTTTAATCGCGAAATTTAATGGCCTTTTTTCATATTTGCCTGTTGAAATCGCGCAAATAAAACCCCGCGAAAAACTATCTTGCCAAATTCGCGGAATTAAGTTTTTTTTTTTCTGTCTACTTTTTTCATGAATTTTTGCGGCGTAGGTATCTCGAGTACTCGTGAATTTTATGTTTTCGTTTTCCTTTCCAGATTGTTCTAGTTGTTACTTTGAAAAATACCAAGATTTACCAACCAGAGGAGCTCACGCCGTGGAACATTTCACCATTGATGGAAGTCTTTTTCTAGCGTTCGCCAACTATAAAAGTGACACCGCCGAAAACTTCAACACAGATTCTTTTATCTACAAGTTCAACGATTTGACTGGAAAATTCTTTGTTTACCAGACCGTAGGCACACATGGAGGGCATGACGTGGAATATTTTACAATTTCTGGCGAACATTATCTTGCTGTTGCTAATGTAAATAATGGAATTACGCACAGACTGAACTCAGTTATTTATCTTTGGAATGGAACATTGTTTGTTTCCTTTCAAAACGTTGCAACGATAAGAGGAGCCAGTTTCAATTTTTTTACAATAGAGAAAGAGCCCTTTCTTGCCGTATCTAATATCAATGCCAACTCAGTCATCTACAAGTGGAAAAATAACATGTTTGAAAAGTTTCAGGAGATAGCGATAGGGGGATGTCGTGCAAGTGCTGCGTTCGTAATTAACAATGAAAGCTACATTGCCTTTGCAAACGAAGAAAGGTCGGCATCGTCAGTAGTTTATAAAAGGGCAGGGATGCACTTCGTCAAACTGCGAAACCTTCCAAAGTATGTAGCAATGGATATAAAGTCCTTTTACATTAATGATGATGTGTTTCTCGCCATTGCCTCTCAGCCAGAGTCATCATACATTAACAAGTGGAATGGAAGTCAGTTTGTCCAATTTAAGACTATCCATACCTCTGGGGCCAGGGCCCTGCATCCCTTTGTCATGTGCGGTCAAACTTTTCTGGGGGTGGCTGATCAACTCAGAACAAAGACAGTGTTGTATCGGTTCTCCGCCTCAAGGCCAGTTCACAAAATATCAAGAGCTTTCAACCTTTGGAGCCATTGATATGACGTCATTTGAATACAAGGGTCATACATACCTGGTTATTGCTAATTCAGGAAATAGCAACCAAAAGAACATTAAAAGTACGGTGTACAAGTTGATCTAAAAAGAATGCTTGTACATTTATTTCCCCAGTATTACTTCACGTAATTTGGGACTGTGCAATAATTACTTGGAGGGAGGGGGAGGGGTTGCG